AATTCCGTATATAAAAAGTACAACAGAAAAGATCAGACGAATAGCGAAAAATTATAACGTCCAAACAGTATTCAAAGCAGGAGGGTCTTTAAGCAACACATTTAACTGCATGACTCGAATTTAACAAAAAACGCTCACAGATAGGCGAAACAGTAAAATGTGAGATGTTCTAGGTCGAATACGGCAGAACACTGCCTGCAGGGAACCTTACTGGAAGCAGCATAAATTTAGAGAAGTTGTGTTCATCGGAAATATTAACAAAGTTTTCCGCAAACCAAGCGTGGAAATACCCGCCGGCAACCGCTAGTCCTGGCGTCCTCATTGGGCAACTTTAGGATTGACTACACCCAACTTGGTCAAGGTTGAATACCTCAAATTATTACAAAAACCCAATGTTCTTCTGAATTATTGAAAATTGAAAATTCATTTAGTTACAACATAGGCAGGCGTACTTTTGTGCTGTAATTTTACTCTAAAATAGTGAAACAGAGCAAAAACTACAGATCTGAAATATTTTTGCAAATTTCAGCCCCCCCTCGTTTCATATTTTCGCCAATTAAATAGCGAAACAGTTTTCCAAAAATCTCTGTACATCACTTTGTACCAATTAAAAGAGAATAACTCTACGAAATGACCGGGGTCCCTGCTGAGGTCTGTTTAACGGACAATAGGCCTGCTGCAGGATCGGACCAGTCATCCTCAGTATTACTTGACCCAGAGGGGGGTACAGTGGAGTCATCATGGGCCCCAGGCGCCCGCCCGCAAATCCATGAGAACGATACTAAACGACGTGTGTAGTTATTGACTGATTGGCTGTTACGTAATTGCTTTTCTTTTTTGATTTCGGCTTCATATAAATAATGCAAATATTCAAATTTTTCTTATTAAATAATTTCAGGCTGATATTAATTTATAGTGTTCATTATTTTATATTGCAATCATATACGTGGCGTTTGAAGAAGACGTTTCATTCTATTACCAACGAAGATTATTTCAACAAATTTCCAAATGGAACTGTGTTAATAATAACGTTTTATATTTTTGAAGCCATTTTCAACTCTTTCTATTTTAAACCAATTTATCCAAAAGGTTTATACATAGAGTGTCCGGAAATAACGTTCAAATAGGTATAACAGGTAATTCTACATGAAATAATAAAAAAAATAATATAAACATGCATCCGGAAAGGCATAGGTTTGGAGATACAGGATGTCAAACATTTTAATAATCTTGCTTGGTTTCCGAAAAAAAAAAAACGAAAATGTATAAGTTTGCCTCTTATTGAAGATGTATGTAAAACCCGATCAGAATTGGTTGCCAATTAGGAACATGTAATAGACTGGCTTTTATTTATTTTTCTCAAAACGGAAGGAAGATTCGAAAAAAAGACATAAAAGCCTAAACGGTTTTAAAAAATACGTACAAATAATATTAAATACCGGTGAAATAACATCTTTTTATATTTTTTCGAGAACTAAATCTTCTTTTTTGACATAGGCAAAAATTATTATACTAAAAATGGATTTGATGGATCAACACATACTTTTTCAAACAAACCATGTTTGTTAAAATCCTATGAATCGATTAGCAGTTACAAATGTTTATTTAAAAAAGGAAACATTTACTACCGAACACTACTTTATAACTTATACAAAAATTAAAATAAAACTTCTTGAAAGTCTGAAAATATTCTCCCTAGTCTCCTTGTGACACTTTAGTAATAAAAATTGATACCATACCCCGTACTTTTGGCTGACCCATTCTTCTTTTGTTTGTCCACAATATCAGGTGGCAGTTTTATCTGAGTGATAGCCACGTAACTTTTTTAAATACGGACTAATACTATTTTAAGCATTTTTTAAAATAATTTTAATCTTGTCTCTGGTTTGGTTTAATTGAAGTTTTTTTTTTTTGATCCCAATGTGGCCCAACATATACGTTATATACCATTTGCAAAGACAATAATTTCTTTTATATTTATAACATATATTCTCCAATGCGTTTCAGCAGTCCGTGACATTGATTTAGCACCCCCTCGATATTACAGCAAAACAAAAACTGAAACGAGAAATATGGAACACTGAGGTAATTAAATAAATTACACAGTCCAAAGTTTAAAAGCTGTTATTTGGCATAATGTATATATTCACGATCGGGTAAGCGAGCGTTAAAAAAAGGGATCACCCCGCCGGCCCATCTTACCTTCTTTTTGTTATTATATTAGAATATATACATTTTTAAAATTCTATCGGGCGTACGCAGCTATCAATTATGTATTAAAGATAAACGACTATCGAAATGCTTATGGCTAAATATGTGTATATACATACATAATTATATAGTTCAGGTTTTTATCGAGTGTACCTTGAGTGGGGGCTCTGGTCCTGTTGGGCCCCTTGGGGTCCTTCGCAGTCACACTCTCCTGCGTTCTGCTACATATTTTATAATCGCCTCATTTGAATATTATTGACCGTATTCGTATTTTCTATTGGCCTTTTATGATCGCTGGTGGCAAAGTTACTCCCTTCTCTTAACTTACTCGCTTATTGTCTTATTTTTCATTTTTGCTGCAGCGTAATGAGAAAATTTCCAACAAAAACAGTTGACGTTTACAATTTTAAACCAGTTTGTTAATTTAATTACAGAAGTTTACTGCATTTTTATTATATTATATTATATTTAATTTTCTGTCTACTTGAAACAATGATATAAATGTGAAAATTAAATATGTGTTGTTTTATGGATTCCCACGTAACACGTAAAAAATCAGACTGCTTTTGCTCTCTGCATATTTCTCTGGAAACGAAAACTCTACCCATAACGACAACATTAAATAGATTATTTACAAACCTTCTGTATTCCTCCTACTAGGGATTCTTGATCATGAGGTCAAATAACAAAAGTATCATGGACGTAGCCTTCCATAAATATATTCGCGATGATTGGTGATAGTGGAGAACCCATAGCTGTTCAAAAATTGACCGTTATAAGAAAAAATGTTCCAGACAAGCATTTTTCAGTTAAGGTGAGAAGGTTTGGTTGCAGATTCACGCCAGATTCCGCCCCCACCCCACTTCCAACAAAACAACATATAAGCAGGTAAAGAGAAAATGCGAGAAAGTTTCAGTAAAGCTCTGAAGAAGCCAACAGGATGATTGGCGAAACGCAGGAGGAATCCAGAAGTTTTGCAAATACAGTAAGCATGTAGAAGGTTCTTTGAATAATTAACATTGATCATATTTAACAGTTTCAAAAATAGCTTATTGAACTACCATGACCTCAATATTTAGGGCTAAACAGATTACTCTGGATTTTCTTGCAATCAAATACGGAAGAATTTTTAATTAGGGAAGTCGTTTGCATAAAAATCAATACTCACAAATTTAGCGTGTGTGTATTGACAATTTTTAAAATGACTGTTCTATGAGGTAGTGCCTTGGTGATCCAAAACTGCCGAGGAGGAGGTCCACCGTGGAGCCGTTGGTTTGTTTTGGTTAGCCTCTGTTATTGTCTTGGTGATGCCAGACCGTCGTAGAGGATGTCCATGTGATGAATTCATATGCGTGTGCTACAAGGAGCGACACCGCGCAACAAATTCGGTAGAAGGATGGCATCATCGACTCAACAACCGTGTTGGGAAAACGCAACCAAATATTTATGAACTGCTTAAAATCCTTCAAGAAGAAATACGGTTCTACAATATTATTGTAAAAAAAAACTGAGCTGAATATGAACACTCTACACATGTAAGTCGTACAGGCGAAACGACAAGGTTTTATGATACCTCACGAAACGCGGTACCCCAAACAACCACAAACCCTGCAGGTTTGCTTGCCTTGCGTATTAAATCCGACATTAAATTTGGTCAATCGCGTGGTCCGCGTTAGAATCCACCAAATGACACGGATCAAAAGTTGGTCAGTGAGCAACTATCTCGTATTAATAAATAAATGAGTCTATTGTTGCGGCTCCCTATCTCGTGTCCGTATATGCCTTCTCGGCATCGGCAGTCCCGAGATGGGATCGGGTCGATCCATCATGTATTGTCACACGGAGGCCGATCGTTCATTGTTCTCTCCGCTCCTCTAATCCATTCATTTCACTCGTCCGTTGGTACCACAGTTCAGGAATGGCAGGCCAGAACATGTTTTAATTAATTTTCATTTTTGTCGTTCGCCGAATAGAGTGGGATGAGCATGATTGAAAACGGTGGCTTTGTGTTTTTGTCGTGTAACCCTATGGTGTCTCGCGTCCCAGATAGACGCACTCGAAGTATCGACAATAGGAACAACGTCTACCGGCTTACGACTGCGCGATTTATCTATCGTTTACTTTTCTTAGTGTATTCTGATGTCGAACAAACCGACGAAGATAACTTGTTTTTGCGACTGAAATGGGTTGGAGTAGTTGAGGTCGTTTTAAAAAAAATATTGATCAGAAAATGGCAGCATAAATTTTTCAGGAATATTACTTATGCACATTTAACCAATATCTTTTATTTTTTGATTTCTTACATAAGATTGTCACCGTGAAAATTAGTCAAAATATATGAAAAGCAGTTCGAAGAATGATAAATGATAACAATAAATAATTTCCTTACAAAACTGATATTGGTTGCAATAGTGGACCCACACTAGTACAGACAGTGTTCTGAACTCACAAAATTGTGGAAGCAACCTTAAACCTGGGTTTTTAATTATTGTATGTGTTGTGCATTGGTAACAACCAAATAAAGGAAGAAAACTCCCACCAAAACACATACGACAACACACTGTCTTGATTTCTTTCTAATTATACCCATTGGCAACGACTCTTACGATACTATATTACTCAACTTGCATCTTTTTGTTATCAGAACTGCATGCGGAAATAACAAAAGTATTGAAAATTATGTCCTCCCCGTTTAAAAATTCTTTTGAACATTAAATTAAATTGGCCATAGTGTGCATTAAATAAATGGAGATAACGTTTATAATCGTAGTTATAATTTTGAGCCTGAACATTACAGTTTTCGTTAGTTTTGGTTAGTTGGGTATCGTCGAGACAACCCCACAAAATATTGAGGTATAGAATTTCATTTGTCGAAGATTAAGAGCTAAAAATGAAAAACTGGATAATGGAGTTATGAAAATAAAAACAGCCTACACAAAAAATTTAATACAAAATAAAATTGGATACAGAAATTTACAGATCTTTGCCTCATCCGTCACCTCAGATTACGAATCGTTAATCGCTTAGCATTTCCTGAATCTGAGCCAAAGTTTTGCCTCTCGTTTCCGGTACTACGAAGTAAATAAAGGTTAAAGATATCACGCAGAAGCCTCCAAATACCCAAAACACAACGCCGAGTCCTAAACAATCAGTTACGATAGGGAACAAAAATCCCAATATAAACGCGACCACAAAACTGACGGTAGTCACGAAAGCTGTGGCTGCTGATCTTACGTTAGAGGGAAATATTTCATTTAACACGGTCATGGATACCGGACCCATGCCTAAATTAAAACATACAAAATATAGTACCATACAAACTAGAGGCAAAAACCAAAGGTTCTGGACGAGTTCCGGGTTACGAGATTGCAAGAAGAAGTAAAGTCCGAGAATGGAGAGTACGATCGAGATCCCGATCGCGGAAAATAGCAAAAGGAATCTCCTACCGAGCCGTTCTATGATGGCAGATGTAACGAATATCGCTAGTACTTTGATGGTACCCACGATTATGCTGGCATACTTTGCTGAAATTATATTCTCGGTGGCACCGAAGATATTGTGAAGCACACCGACCACTACCGATATTCCTGTCAGTTGGGGTATTGCCGATATACCCAATCCCAAAAGTAAAGCACGTCTAAGAACTTTCGATTGGAAAAGATTTCTGATTCCTTGTTTCTCGTCGGAATTTGCGGAGACGAACTCCCTTATTTCCAGGAGATCCTTTTCTATGCTACTTACATTTCGGTTGCGTAGCTTAGCCAATGCCCATCCTGCCGCATCTAGATCGCCGGACTTCACCAGGTATACGGGCGATTCGGGGACAAAAATCGGAAAGAGAACAAGAAATACCACCAGAGGTATAATGGACACAAGGCAAAACATTTTGATGCTGAGGAAGGGTCCTACTAGATAGGGAAACAGAACACCCGAGGAAACGAGAAGCACAGATATGCAGCTGAATTTGCCTCTGTTGTGTTGTTGTGTAATTTCGGCTATATACATTGCGATCACGGTCATGCATCCGGCAAGTCCCAGTCCATGAAGGATCCTAAAAAATATTATATCATAGCATTTTTGATGCATGGTGCGTGAATTTTGATTATTGTTAGTTTCTTCCCAGATGTGCCGACCTTATTAATTGTTACACTGTTGCAGAAAATGATACCCTGGAGGCATTTTGATATAGTTTCAGTTAACAAACTTAAACTCGACTTTTTTTTCTCCTTCACATATTGTCATTAATCCAAAATTAGATAAATAACTTCCTAATATCAAGGACCCTTTGACGCCACAGTGTCCTGAGTGACACCCAGAATTGTATTTAAAAAAAAGCATCATATGGCAGATATAGGACTTAGTCTTTGTAAACTTTGTAAATGTTTGTGATCCCAAAACGAGTGCAAAAACTTCGCTTTTGCGAAAAACTCTTTGAAGTTCATGAAATATCGATCGAAACGTCTATAAAAAGTTACAAAAAGTAGATATTTAACATAATACACCTTGCACTGCGACGCGCACCAAGTCGAGCAAATCCGCGTCCTGAGGAACAACAAAACTTTTAATATATTGACATTTCTTTTATTAAATTTTGTAGCAAACTAAAAGTTACTAAATTGTAATACTTGTTCTTTATTACTGCACCTAACTATGAGCGGACTCTTTTAATCCTTACTTTGACTTGCTTTTTGATTAGTTTATGTTTTGTGATATCTCAAAAATGTTAGAGTATATAAAACAATGAGTTTCGGACCAGCCAAATCTTTGTAGAAAATAACAATGATTAAAAGTGGTCCATATATTTTATATGCTTCGCTTACAATATATTCAGATAATGACGAATGGTTGTTTGGTTAAATAAATTTTTCATTAACTTAATTTTGTCTAATTTGTTTCAAGAATCCTATAAACTGAACACCTTACGTCACTGCTTTGAACTACGGTGAATTGCCAAAACTTTAGTAGCTACATCCAAAAAACAACGTGATTAATATAAATAGCACGAAAATTAAATCTTACCTGGCTACGTAGTAAAGCCGTACATCAGTCGCGAAGGCCAAAATCACAAATCCAACCAGCAAAGGAAAGGCGATTAGGATCATAGTTTTCTTCCTACCAATTTTGTCAGAGAAATACCCAAAAATAAAAGGGCCTATGACCTGACCAACTGATAGAAGAGAAATGATCCAACTCTTTTGAAGAGTATCGATTGGCGCGCCGAATGGACTTTCCGCCGACTGAAGTTTTGGAAATACTGGAGACGTCCATGAGAGTGAAATGCCGGCGCCGAAAGATGTTAAACTTGCTATAAAAATATGATTGTTAAAACGCGGGGTGCAATTGAAAATACGTATTATTATATAAATAACCAAGTTCAAATTTTGACTTAACAACAAATTAGATTAGCTTATCAACATAAATTGTAATCCTAGCGATAACAAGTCAAATCAATGACGGGTATTACTTAGAATTACTTAGAAATTACAAATTCTAATTTAATAAAAACGTTCTCTTGAATTTATAGCGCCTTTATTTTGTTTTTATTGTATAAATAAATGTATAAAAATATTACAAATACATGAAAAAATTAATAATTACTTTCGCAGTGGTGAAAATCAGATCTCTATAAGTGATAAGATTGAAGTACAGCGTAGACCATTTCACATTTTGTAAATTTGCTTATCAATTTTTTAAGCGCAACCTCCTTCATCTCCTAGCCCTCTCGCCATCGATATATAGTATGCTCTGTCTAAAATACGATGTGATACTTGTCCAGTAAACCCCAACAGTCTGCATACGTAAACAGTAAATGTCTGAGAAATTTATTTTAGTTTAGGTTGTGTATTTTTCGGTTAAGCAACTAATTTTTCTTATGTAGATACTAATAAGAATTAATTTGAACGTTCTTGTTTATTTTACTTTTCTTTTCTTTTCTTTAAAGAATAATAAAGTTTTAAAAAATATGATAAAACTATATGACAATGACAATTACATTGACTAAAATTTAAGAAAACTGTCTCCTCTTATGTTTAAAAAGAAACGTTAAAGTGACAATTGACCGACATCTTAAAATACTTAAAATAATATATTTATTAGAAAGCTGCATATGTATTCTACACTAATTATATTGTTAATTTATATTGACCCAATGACAGATTTTCTTTATTAAGTTGCTAGTTGTTAATTCTCAGTTTGTTAATTGTTAGTTGCTATTTTTTTATAAACCCACCATAACTGTAAACTCACCCAAAACCGTGGTAAAATACAAAAAGAAGGGATCACTATCTTTTTTTAATGTTTCCGGTTGCAAGCATTCAAAATCGCGAAAACGCTGATCAACGGATGTGGGTCTGTAAACAGTCCCACCTTCAGCATTCCCTTGGTCGGCAATTGGAACAGTCTCCTCAAAATCAGTGTTTTGGGCGACCATTTTACGATGTACCGTTAAAAAAAATAGGAAATGCTGAAGCACTACAACTTTGCTGTGTCATTCGGGACTTTTATTCCCAAATTTTTTGGTAATCACAAGGCAAACAACACTTTTGTTATCGCCAGTATTTGGCAAACTATAAATACGCATTGTGATTATACAAACACAAGTTAGGTATAATAATCTCCAAAATCTAGAGAAGACGAAAAATTTGAATGGGTTGGTAAACAAAATAATTGAATGCTCGATTCTTAAATTGTTGTAAATGTGTCTTTATCTGACAGACTAACGGTAATGTTTTGTTTGTTTATTTAAATGTATAGATCAATTAGCATTTTTAATAAAATCAATCTGTAGGGAGTTGACTCAACTATCATTACAAAGCTTTAAGCTATTTTATTTTGAACCGAATTAGTATGGTTTGGAATTATCTCATTTCACCTTGATACACAACAGTTCAAGCACATTCAATTCAATAATCGACGAATTGACAGCTTTATGGTATTCAATAAGTAACAATTACTGCTAAGCATTTATATATATTCATAATCGCAATCAAGTTAACAAACGGGGGCGCGTTTACACATGAAAGTAGAATTGTGACTTTTTTAAACCTCAATTTTTATTCGGTTCCTATTTTGTATTTATGTTTATCAGGTTGTAAGTATGATAAATTCGCATATAATGAATAAGGCGAAGCTTGTAGTAGTTCTAGCTGCACAAAAAGAAACAATCAGTAGTCTGAGCTTCTTATATATTTTATTCTAATTGTAATTTTTTATACCCAAAACGTATTTATATATTAAATTTGAGTTTGCTACCGATGTGTCCATAATAAAACAAAATCAATCCCTATTTCTATTATTATTCACCCACAAAATATAGAAATAATAGAAGCTAAATATTGTTATTTGCGACAGGCTTATTTCGTTTTATAATTATCGCAAACCATAAATCATCTTTTTGCGCAGTAGAAAATTAAAAATTTAAACAATTTAAAAAAAAATACATTTAAGCTTTTGCCTTGATGAAGAGGGGGGAGACTTGTTATTGGAAGAGTCATATAGATATTTGGTACTTATCTCGAGGACAAAATTCAGGTGTAACATATTCAAATGTAATGGCAGAAACTTAATGTACCTAAAATTCTCGGACGATAATCGGTTGATTTGGTAATTAAAAAACTGCCCTTTTTAACGAATAAATAGTAGAAGAAGGCTAGGGTAATAGAGTTTCTAAGAAGATGCTTTTAACTTATACATTTCAGCATAGGTGTCGAATATTGGGCTTTAAAAACCATACAAAATCAGGGAGATCGGTTTCTATTGTACCTACAGCAAAAGTTAAATGGGGAGAGTTTTAGAGCAAACTTAGGGGCTTTAAAAACTGGCTTCAGAAAATGACATATTTTGTTTATCGCCAGTAAATTCAAAACGGTTAAATTAACAGCTGACACTCTTTAAGACGAGTAAGATAACATCGGTTTTTGGTTACTTTATGAATTAGATTTTGCATTACATTGTTTGTAAATTGTTTCTGTCGCGAGTTTCTTTTCCAATGTTTATCGAACTTGCACTTTGCTCAAGTGTTAATTAAATTAATAAAGACTTTTCCGACTTTTTCTTTTTAAGAAGCACACAGGTTGTAATTTGCACAAAATATCTGACTTGTTAAGAAGCGTGCTGAAAGCGTTACGTTTTAGGATTTATATTTCCCACGCCTTGAATTTCGACATTTGTCAATTCTGACGATCATGCCAATGAATGTATTCGTGTTGTTTTGCGAAAATGTACCCAAAAACTAACCGTCGTAGAAAAGGTATAGTATGCAACACGTTTGGTAAACTTTTTGACACACTCGTTTATTAAACACTCGCTCTGCTTGTGTCAAAAAAACTCGTGAGTCAAATGCCGCTTATCGCACTTGTTGCATAATATACTTTTTCTATTCCCTTCTATTTATCTACCGTACAGAAAGTGTCGTCTTATCGCGTCAGTTTCGTTTCCCACGGAACCAAGTCACTTCGGACATTTCCGGGACATTACCGCACCAGTTTAGTAGTAATCGTTTTATTTCGCAGGGCTGGAACTTGACGTTTTTTCTTCTTCCTTGCTTCTAATAGCCACGTCTACATCAGGTCATTCGGTCAGCTTAAAAAATTACTAACAATATTCAAAATTCCTAAAGGAGGCCTTCAAAAGAAAAGAGTCTGGATTATTCCATCATCCTCCAGGGTTGTTGACATAATCTTAATTCGTTCTTAGCTTGCAAAAAAGTACTTAACTTCCAGCAAAGGGAAATCCGAGCCCATCCCACCTTTAACAACGACTACAAACGTTAAAACCTTCACCTAGGAAACAAAAACCACATAATTGAAATGGATATCAAAACTTTATGGGAAGATTACAAAAGATTATGTCGGGAGCGAGAGGAAGTTAAGCGGCCATGTGCAATGCTCACGACAGAATCATTTTGACATTTATCAATTTTTGACGTTTATGTCAGAAAAGGTATTCGTGTTATTTTGCTAAAATGTATCCAAAAACTAACGGTTCTAGAAAAAGTATAGTATGCAACACCTTTGGTAAACGTTTTTTTCTACTCTCGCCTGTAAAATACCTAATTACACACCGATCTAGCGTGCGGGATGCGTCACTTTAGCACGTCAGTTTCGTTTTCCACGAATCCGAGCCACTTCGGACATTTCCGGGATTTTACGGTACGGATTTGGGAGCAATCGGATGTTTTCGGAAATATTTCCCACGCTTTGAATTTTGACGTTTGTCAATAATGACGGTCATGTCAGTGAATGTATTTGTGTTGTTTTGAGAAAACATTCCCAAAAACTAACGGTCTTAGAAGAAGTATAGTATGCAACACGTTCGGTAAACGTTTTAACTCACTCGTTTATCAAAAACTCGCTCCGCTCCTGCCAAATAAACTCGTGAGTCAAATGCCGCTTACCGCACTTATTGCATATTATACTATAAGCAACGCGTTTATTAAAGAACTTGCTCCGCTCGTGTCAAATAAACTCGTGACTCAAAATCTATTTTTCATGTGTTACTTATTAATATAAATATTAAGTAAGTCACGGCCTACTGATAAAATAATTATGACCTAACTTTACGAAGTGCGGCAAAAAAAATTGTGCACTTGTGAGACATCACTGAACCGTAAATGTTGCGCTCTTCTCAAAAATCGAAGAATCCAATATGGCGACCTTAAGAAAAATTAAAGTTAAGGCAGACTATCGAGGCATGTCACAAACGCCATCCTACTTTTCTTAAATGTCACATTTTGATAGCTGTGAACCAATTGACCGATGGTAAATCTGGAACCGATTGTTAAAGCCACTAAGTTATTATTATATAGAAGCCTTTCCTATTCATTTCAAAACTAGTTTTCAACCAATTATAGCTGACATTTCAATTCTCGTTGTCAACCAATCCGGCGGTTTTTCTAAAATTTCCAGATATATATTCATGAAAATGTTATATCCACGAGATGGGCATCGATTTTTCGGTATTGACGGCCCCTGTATTTTATAAGAGCGCAAGTTTTCAAGCACGTCTTCCACAGAGAACCAGGTCACTACGTTCACATCCAAATTATTTATTTTTCAAGAATTTATTCAAAAAGAATTCAAGAACGTGTCCCATGGGCTCCATCGTCCTCTCGAGCAGCAGAGGGGGAACATCAAACGTTTACTGGCGGCTGTTTCCCAACTTCCGACAAAGTGTTATTCAAATGATCTCGCATACTAACGACTTTTTAAATTCCACAAAACTGACCATATTGACCCGGAGAGAGTAGACGACAAGAGTGCGTATACTCGAAGTCTTTCGCGACAAAAGATGCGGGGGTGAGATATGCCAACCGCGGCTCTCTATGATGTACCAAGCGGCGTGATACTATGCGGGACAAATGACATACGATAAAGCCTACGTGATCTGAACTATGCATAACCTACACGACAATTCAGACGGCCGTCTTTGTTAGTGTGAGAATCACTACACGATGCGAAAATCTTGACTGCTTATGATGCTCGTAAAAAAAAGATTAGTATTTATAAGGACGGAGAGCCTAATGCCGCCGCCATGTACGGACCGGAAATATTTTTATTGCGTGAGCGTCATTTTTGGAAAGACAGCGAATAAAATCTTAAGTAAAATTTGCTCAGTTCACTTCAAAATCCTCATGGATTAAACAGTGCCGGATCATTAACCCAAATCTATCTCATACAAATGTCGATGGTTTAGGAAATCCAGAGCGATAAAAAATTGAATTGAACTGGCTAATCAATTTTCAATTTCTCGATGCTAACATTTACAGCTTTGCTCACACAGTGCGCTAGTTGTTTAATAAGTGCTTGATGAGAAGCACCATCTACATCTATTGCTGCATAGATTTACTGACGTAAGTTTTATTATATATTTTTGAAATATGAAAGCTAAACGAGCGCTCAAAAAAAGAAAAGTGAACTAGTTGGGAGATAATGAGTTCATGAATAAGATTTAAATTATCGCGAGCAGGCGCACTCGACAGCCAGTCAGTCGAAAAGCGAAACCTGAGCGCAAAAATATAAAAAATCTATTCTATTCTATTCTAAAAAAATATTCTGACGACTGAAATATTCGACTTCCACCACGAGAAGACGAATACCGCTTCCTAGTCAGTCAAAAAGCTGAAACCGTAGTTATTTTGTTCGAAATAAATTTTGAGTTCCGTTTATACAAAGAGACCTGCTTAATTTGATCTTCACGTTTGGCGAACCAAAATTATTTAAAAACATTAAAATACATTGAAAACAAAAAAAAACGACAGTAGTCAATTTTTTTCAAGTTACGTATAAAACAAAGGCATATCATCATATTATATATTTTTTTCATAGAATTTTTTACTATGATTACAATTTATTATTATTAAAATTGTTTTTCTCGAATTTAGTATCAGTAAAAAAAATGATATGCTTCAAATATGTGCAACCGCTGGTCGTTGTCAGTGTATTAGACTAAA